TGGCGACGCGCATAGCACTGGAGATGGACTTGCACGAAGACAACAACCAGAATATAGAATACGAGAACTGCCACATCGCGACAACTACCAGCTGTAGACCATCGACCAGAACCAACGAGGCTCTGAAAAAGGCGAAGACGCCGAAACGTCAGCTAAATAAAAGTTTATACTAACCTCGTGTCAGCTCAATCATGCAAAAAAGAAGAAAATCATTGGACTGTGGATCACCCCTCACTATTTTCTTACAGTCTGAGATCTGAGACTCTGAACTATTGATGATATAGAGCGGCTGGTCATTCCCAAGAATTCGAGGAACGCCGGGAACAACTCTCACATTTGCACCTGGAAGCAACGAAAAGCAAGCCCACATTGCACAGCAGTGTAGAGAACTTGCGGCTACCTATTCGCAATGAGATGCATTCTTTGCCAGTCTACGGCTGATTCGAATCTTTGAGCGAAGAAGGCAGTGATAAGAACCAGTATAGAATGACGGGACTACCGATGTGTCAAGTAGGGAAATCTTCTGTTTGCCAGAATATGGTCGATCTCGGCATGAGTATTGTCTTTAGCAGGCTCGAATATCGAATGGTGACCTTCTTTGTTCTGGAAAAACGAATTTCTATGGGAAGGACGTGCTGCAGATATTAATTCTGCAAGACGGTTTCCGTTTCCATGTCTTTCTCCTAATCAAATTTTCTGAGCGTTCATTTGCTTTCGCTGGCTTTTCCTACGTTACCGTTGAAGTCTCCGACAATGAATTTACAACATGTTTTATCATTGCGAATAACTTTCTCCAATTAACTGTAGAACGCATCCAATTCGCACACATCAGCTGTATCCGCCGGTGATCACTAATTGATGAAATAGATCTTCACACGACGCGTTAGTTGAACACGAAGGTCAGCTATACGAGAGGAAAGGATCTCGTACGAGTTAAACAGATCGGTAATGAACAGGTGGTCGACAAAGCCTGCGCCACCGAGATTTTATGACAGGACCTCTTCTCCGTAGAGGACAGAGATTGCGTTGCTTAGATGGCGTATGTTGCTCTTCCTGCTTTTGTTTCTTGTAAGGCGGAATCACATAGAATTCGATATAAACTGCGGCTTCAAGGAAGACGTGAAGATTGTCATATGAGGAGAGTGTTCTAGTACCTTACGTTGAGAGCAAAGAACAATCTCCATGACTGGTGCGTGTTCGTCACACCCAGTTCCCCTAAGCTCCTGGATCGCGCGAGAATTCGCGGCCTCTCACCAGTAGTCTCACTGCCTGACGTCATAGAAAACAGCACGAATTGTGCAGAAATTGAGGCGACCCTATTGCTGCTATAGCAGCTTGATCTTCCCTGCCGCTCTAACTTGACGTTTCGAGAGAGTTCCAGGCCTTCGGCGCGATATCAATCCGAGTAAAGTGCCTTTTCGGCAGCGATTTCTTCGTTCGGTCATACGGCTAGTTGATTCAGTGACGATACTGAAACCGAAATTAAAAATGAAGGTAGGAATTTAAAGTTACTGACCACTCAATAAAAATTTCGAATCTGAAATTCGTTCCTTTACGTTATATGAAAAATTGGAAATGATTTAATGTCGAACGACAATATCTTAAAAGCGACTTTCATTAAAGCTCGGCAAAAATAACCAATCCTTTCTTTGGTTGCTAATGTAGAACGGAGTTGGAAAAAAGATAAAAAACCATGTATCTGGCAAACGTTTCGACGTCTTCGTTTTTCTCTATGTTAGATTCATTAGAGCCTGTGCTGATCCACAAGCGGTCGTCTTCTCGATGTGTCAATCAGTCTAGCTCTGAGGAAGACAAACACGTCGCAATGTTAGCCGAATAAATATTTTGCTTTGTCAGCCTCGTTTAGCTTAACAGTCGAAGAAAGAATTGTGAAACAATACATGGACCAATTAATCTTTTTACTGGCACGGCAGTTGTCCGTTCTCATGGCTTATCCTTCACGTGTTCACATCTGTTGGTTCTTCTTCCAATCCTTTGCTGCCGCTAAGCACAAAAGATCTAATCGGTTCACTCCTCGTGACCTGTTAATTACAAAAGAAACTTAGTACTTTAGTCCACAGGTGGCTGCGGTGGGGAACGAACGCGCTACCACCCTTTCCAGGGGCTAACGCGTTCACGACTAAACCATGCGGGTCTTTCGTCTCGCTTTTCTCTCATTTAGTTCTATCAATCAATGCTTTCGGTGCCTCCCACACACTTCTTCAGACTTCGATGAACTCCATCTAAATTTCTGTAGACCTTAAATAATGGCATTCTTTCACCATGAGATGAAAAGAAAACCTAAACTAGAGCGATACACATGCTTTTACGAACTCTATAGATTTATCGATTGTTACGCCAAGGCTTATAGAAAGTCGGTCTTTTGAGTTAAACTAAACATATTTAAGCCGTCAGGTGCTTGTAGGCGCCAACAATTCTTATCAATTTTATCATTCCACTTATTAGGGCCCACGCATTAAAAAAAGCTATTGTGTTGGTATTTCAAGGACAGCAGCTGCACTTCTAATGGAGACCCTTTTAATAGAAAATGACTGGTGGCAGATTTCACATGAAGAAACACCAGCATTGATCAAAAATACAGCAACGCAGTAGGAAATGTTCCGAAATTTCCTATGGAACGCCGTGACATCTGTCATTCCATCAACACTATCCATCCGTCACTCCGTCATTACAACCAAAGCACAGATTTGTTGAATTTGACTGGCTCAGCTGTCCATAATATGTTTTTTGCCAAGCAATTTCAGCCACTTTCTAATGATCGAAGAGTTAAGATCCTGAATTGTTATATACAGTGGGTATTCAACTCCAGGCAGGGCCAGCTAAGCTGAGAAGGTATTTGAGATTTTCATGTGGGAGCTCAGCTAGAAGTGCAACTACCTATACCGCGAACCACACGAGCTACTCGGGGTTAAGCTGTTCTCAAAAACAGCAGTAAGAAAAAGTCTTTGTATGAATAGTGTGGGGCTTAGAGAGCTACTGAAAGCAAAGGAGAATACGTTTGTGGCACGCTTCTTTTTGTAGAATGTGTTCAGTGCATCACCTCAAATAGGAGCAGACTAAAAGTCCATAGACATTTCTCAAAAGTATTTGCTCCAATACTAGCACTTTTATAACTCAAATTCTTAATTGAATTTGTAATAAATAAAAGAAAAACATTAAAATAGAGCCTAGGCTTCAATAAGCAGGGAATTGAGATCATCTGCTGTGTCTTGTCTTAACAGCTGTCTAGATTCGAGAAAACCAAAGGTCATGTCACAAGTAAGAAATGCATTTAGAAGTTAAGACAGGCCTCTTACAATTAGTTTACAGGCAGAAGAATTGACAGTCTCCCAAGACCGACTTTCTGTTAACCTCGGCATTAATTGATAATTCAATGTTTTTCTTCAATAAGCAGACACGAGGTTGTTAATATAGAATTTATTAGAATACAATAGCTGACGTTTCGGCGGTTTCGCCTTCTTCAGCGCCTGGAAAGGTCAAATTGAAATGTGATCTACTCAGCCAAACACTTTCATAACCCCAGCAGATAAAACTTGACAAATCGATTTGCATTCGCATAAGAAACAGCTTCATTCAAACACCTACCGTTTATTTGTTGTAAGTATTTAAGTTAGTTGATGGATAGCCGCCGCACAGAGTAATACATGGGCGATAACTATGTCTGTGTCAGGCATTGGATTAGCCTGAGGTATGGCGCTAGGTCACGCGTGATGACAAGACACTCCTCCTTGCGGTTCTTTTTTGAATTTTTGGCAATGCCAATGCAATTTTTTGCAAATCGAGTTGTCAAGTTTTACCTGCTGGGTTATGAAAGTGTTTGGCTGGGTAGATCACATCTCAATTTGACCTTTCCAGGCTCTGAAGAAGGCGAAACCGCCGAAACGTCAGCTATTGTATTCTAATAAATTCTATATTAACAACCTCGTGTCTGATTATTGAAGGAAAACATTGAATTATCAATGGACAGTCTGCTGGTAAAATGAAAATGAGGGGCGATTTGGTTGGAAATTGGCTTCGGTGGACGTCTGTGGCTTCTGCTTTACAAATATTCCACCCATCCCCACTGCTCTCTCTTGTTGTAGAATGCTGGGATGGGCCAAATTATATCAAAACTATTATCGTTTCTCATGTTAGTAGATTGTTCAGTTGCTCTTTATACCGTAACTAGAAAAGTCTGAAATCCATGAAGAATCAAACCGTAGAAATTCTGAATGTGAGAAACATTAATGAAGGTCCTCGCTCTTCAACAACCATAAACTCTGATTTATTGCTCAGTAGATAGTTCCTGTTGGCTACAAAACATTCAAGGTAAATATCACTAATGAAGCGATGTCAGCCTTTTTCACCGACCTTATCGTGTGCTGCTTATCGGAACGTACAAAAGGATTCTGATCCAGTAGAGCACACACGCCACCCAAGGTTATGGTATGTCTCTTTTCAACCACACCGCTGCTGAGATATTTGCAAAACTCTGGACCGCAGGTGTCTATGGTGGGGAACGAACGCGCTATTATCCTTTCCGGAGAGTAACGCGTTCACCACCACACCATGCGGGTCCTTTGTTTCGCACGTCTCTCAGATATTTCTATTGATCTTTTTGCCACAGCAATCACCCGTCAGCGGGGTTGATCTGGGGAGCGCAAATCGGCATAGAACCCAGTTAAGCTATGGCTGTAGTTGAAATCACAATGTTTAACGTTTTGTTTTCTGCCTTCTATAATTATAGAAGGCAGAAAACAAAACGTTAAACATTGTCTCTTTTCAATGAAAAATTTCAGCATTCACCTAAAGCAATATCTGTCTTGGCTTATTGGCTGAAAACTTGAGCTTTCAGAAGGCCACCATACTTGCTGCTGTGCTCGCAGTCGCTGTTTTTGCAGCATCTGTTCCAAAATCAAGTGAGACTTCCGGATAATAACAGTTATCGCCCTCAGCTATGAGTTACGACGCAAAATTGTTCGAAATCTTCATGTATAAGCCTGGACAAACCCATGTTCAAGTGCAGGTTTTCTTATTCAGGTAGGCTTATACGAGGAACCGAGCACCTCAAAGGAAAAGATTTGGTTGAGTATGTGAACAAAGCACAGAAACTATTCACGGTTTGAATTTCTGTTTTTATACTACCACGACAGATTTGCCGTTTACAGAGGAAGTGGGTTTAAAACACAGCTTTTACAGCGCTGTTTTTAGGCCAGGCTATCACCTCGCTTCGCCAACGTTCCTGATGATATCAAACGCCGCATTATGGGTTCGTTGCATGTTGCTGTGCCAGCAAAGTATAGAGTAGGTGACTAAAGATCTATCAAGAATTTTCTAAACATAAATGAGAATCGGAAATAATAGCGACTAAAACTATTCAAGGCAAACGAAAAAAGGCACGATGACATAGACGATTCCATCATACCAAGTTCGTTTGACGCTCGTAACAGCTGGTCAGAATGTCCGTCGCTTCATTCCATCCGCGATCAGTCCAACTGTGGTGAGCGGTGCAAAAATTTCTGTCTTGCTGAATTCTTTGATCTACTGAGCAAGATTTTGTTAATGAGTACTCGTTGTTTTCTTTAACTTAAGAGTGATTTATCTATTAAGTAGTAAGGAAGGAGTGTACTCCATGGATAAGAATGACAAGCAAAGTGAATCACCGCATGTTATATATAAGAAAGCATTCTTTCTTATTTACATAACGACTTAACCACAAACTGATAGAGAAAGAAGTCAATTTAAGGCTCATGCTGGGCTGTCGCAGCGGCTGCGGCGATAACGGACCGCATTTGTATCGCGTCGAAAGGCAATACAAGCGTAACCATTTCGGCTGACGATCTTCTTTCTTGCTGTACGGACTGCGGCTTCGGGTGTGTTTCCTTCTGATAACTGAATGTTTTTCGTTTTTGCAACGCTAGCTCTTTTTTTGGAGGAAAAGTGGAAAGGGGAGTGGAAGGCACAGTGGTTTGTGATACAGTCCATCAGGAAGCAAGGTGCTCGTCTGATCTCATCCCCAACTCACTCCTCCAACATTCTGCGATATTCACAAAAAGGACAAAATCCTCAAGCGGCAGCCAAAACAAAAAGGGAAGTGGGCATCGGGAGGGCGAACATCTGGGACCATTTTCTTGGGCAGTCGACCCTGAGAAAGAAGAAGAAAGCGAAATATTATCCGAATAGACCTTTTTATCAGTCTTGTTAGCTCAAAAGGTACAAATTACTAATATCGTGGTTAAATGACCGTCGGTTTGGAAAAGAGAGGTGTTCGAAAGCCCTTGTGGACAATGAATATAAGAAAGCCAAATCTAATGCGAAAAATTGCACAGTTTGCACAAGTGTAGGTTCGTAGGGAATCGAGCATCATCCATTCAATCATTGAAGGGACAAAATAATTTTTCGACATCCACAAGCTTAACCCCAATACTTTAACCATTCTCTCAATTAGTTGTCATTTTTTTTCACAGGTTAATAGTCTGGAGAAAGCTCGTTTAGTTAGTTTTTAGATGTGAAGGAGGCTTTCCAATAGATGCTTGGGGTTATTGGACAAGCGTTGGCATTGTCACTGGAAGCAACTTTACCACTAAGGTATTTTATTCAAAACAGAAGAAAAGCTAACGACGAGTAGTGAATTCAATGAATTTTTTTTGTTTTTAATTTAACACATTGTGTTATTCCTATACCTTTGAAGAGTTACTGTTTCTTTACAGACTGGCTGCAAACCTTACCCGTTCCCACCTTGTGAGCACCACATCAAACCTGTTCATTACAAGGTAAATAGGAGTGCAAAATAGAAGTGCTGTTCTGGAGTTTAGTTAACTGGCATATTTGTGTCTTTATTAACCAGTATTGATCTAGAGTATCATATAAACATAACAGACTACAAGCTCAAAAATTGCAGCAGTGCCAAGGTGAACTCTACCCAACAAATGCTTGCGAGCGTTCGTGTCAAGAGGGTTATGCGGTCCCTTACGAGGAGGACAAGCACTACGGTTAATGCGATCGCACTCTTTAGATTAAAACTAGCCTCACCATTCAAATACCACAGATAGAGCCATAGTTTGATGGATACTTACAAAACATTTTTTACTTTGTAGATCTACATTTTGTTTAAAAAGGAACCCTCTAAATACATCATAAATACGAACGGTCTTTGGGCTCAATTAACCTCATAGGAAAAAAATCTGGGGCCTATTCCTGATTTTATTTTGCTTCACGCTGTAACAATTAGTAGATATCAATAAGTAATCAGAGACTATAAAGACGTCAAGGAAAACGGATGGATATTATTACAAATCTGAAAAGAGCTTTTTCGATAAAAACAATACAAAAGCTGTTGCCTCGGGGCAATGATTTCCTTCTACTATCTGGTTTCAATAAAGCTGATCTCTGTCCTCTTTTTCTGAAGTGGCAAGAGAGTGAATTCATGTCGATTCATATGCCTGCAAAGTAGGCAATGCAATACGTGACACTGCAAGTAAACCTTTAAAGTTGTGAATATTCTCTCATTGTAGGTTGATGGAAATGTAAGATAAGATGTGGTTAATATTTCTACTGTTCCCACACGAAATTTTCAACGCAAAGACTTTCGATACGGTACACAATGGTTGCACTGCTCAACTGTTCGTATCAGGAGAACTTGTTCAGGATCATCTTCCTATGCGGTTGCAGCCGATGTAGCCACCATCCAGAAGGAAATAATGCTTCACGGACCGGTCGAGGCCTCATTTGAAGTTTATGGGGACTTCGTGCACTATTCCAGTGGAATCTACCGAGTGAGTTATAGTCATCATTGAACAGATATGATTAGTGAGAAATTGTATAGCACTAATCTGTTCATCGCCGCGGATGGAAAACTTTCTTAGTCCTGCGTTATCGAACCATCAATCGTGCGTTTATCGTGGATCACCACTAACCACGGTGCCACAGATCTGACCAACAATCGCTGTGGAAAGCTCTCTTCTGATATGAAAAGCGCGACTTTGTGAGGAAGTGCATAATTTTCGATTTTTGTAGTTAACGGGAGGTGATATTCTTGGTGGACATGCAGTGAAGATGATCGGATGGGGAACGGAGAATGGTGTCGACTACTGGCTCTGCGCTAACTCGTGGAACACCGACTGGGGAGAGAACGGTAAGCCTTCTTCCCCACCTAGTCGAATTTCTCCCAGATTTTTATTTACACATGAAAACATTCGGAATCCTCGTCGGTTTCACCTTAACGGGCAAAGTTGGACTATTACTTAACTCGAAAGTGCAGGTGACTTTACCGCCTGAGAACTACTCCTACTCTCAAGTAGGGGATTTCACTAAGCTAGGACTTTCTTTTCTACGAAATTTTTGCGCTCCAAATTTTTTTTGAAATCAAATTATTAAAATAAACTCACTTTTCATTCTGCAAAATTGGTGCAGTCTCTAAATAAAATGTAATTTCATGCTCTATTTGGGACGCATTGATAGCAAAGCGCACTACCCGTTGTCCTAAAATGTGAAATCAAGAACCAATCCTCTGCGCTAAAAGGTTGATGCGAAAAAGAGAAATGTTTAAGGTTAACGTTTGTTTTGTGCAAGGAGATATCTTAGCATCCTCGTCATCTTTGCAATGGAGACATATTTGATCCTCGTCATCAACTAACTCTCTTCTTTGCGGCCAGACTAACAAACTCGTTTGAACAAGCCCTTCTAAAATAAAAATCTCCCAAAACAATTTTTTTCAGGCAGAAAATTTCTGAAACTTTTGTTGTGAGAAAACTGTCTTTGCAATATAAAATAATTGTAAAACAGGCTCTATGCGTCAAGAAAACCGCCGCAGACAAAGTACGTTACAATGAATGTGCAGTTTCGCGAATTTGTAAATGTTAGTAGTCGGATATATTTCCAGAAAAACATCTTTTAGATATTCTAGCTTTAATTCAAAAGTCTCAATTCAGGATTTTTCCGAATCCGTCGTGGTACCGACGAGTGTGGGATTGAATCTGGCGTCGTTGCTGGATTACCAAAGTAGTTACTTATGTTTTTTTCATGCCTACCACAAAGATACAAATGAAGACTTTAGAGAATCATATTGAACACAATTGTATAAATAGGTGTCATAAAAAAAGACAAGAATGTCATTGGTTGAAAGCAACTCTGGCAATGAAGTACTGCTTGGCGGAAAAACATTACTCGTTTAGGTAGTCACGTCGGAGTAATTTTGGGCGCTCCAGATTAAACATACAGAATAATCAGCAAGGGTCAGTCAATACAAGATTAAGACAGAAGCAAACAATAACATACCAAAGAGTGACTCTTTCGGGCGAGAAATAAAAAGCAATCAAGCCTAAACTTTTCGATTCTATGAATGTGATGAATAAATGGTCACCGTTGCCAGAGTCGGATGATATAGTATGGAAAAACGCATAGCAACATCGCATTCACGTTAGATAAAGTAAGGTTGCTTTCCCATGGCATTTAACAGTAATCTTCGTAAAAAAGTTAAGATATTTAGTCATGGTTAATGCAAAGTTTGCTTACCAGTGGCTTTTCGAGGAAAACAGGTGAAAGCTTGGAATCAGCCTCTGTTTTTCGAAATTTCAACATTTTTCACTGTTTTAGTGAAAAGGATAAAATGCACTGAAGTATGTCACGTAAATTTTTAGTGAGGTATTTCCTTTGTTGATAAGGTCAAACTACCTGACATCAGTAAGAGAAATACCTGAGTAAATAGTTACTGAGACGAGCAGACTTTCCTCTAGGTGACCCATTGTAGCGAAGATTTGAATGCGTTTTAGTACGGTTATTTTGAGGTATCTTAAAACCGACTTTCATTAGAGCTCTGCAACAATAATCTGTAGGTTTTCGATGATTGAACTGGCACGAAGTTAGCACAAATGTTATTCAGCTGTTTCGGCGCGTGTGGCGCAGTGGTCGGAGACGCCCTGCAACACGTGGAATCGATCCTTGTGCCCATGGCCCACCAACCATTCTATCTCTCAGGGGTCGGAAAATTGCAGACTAGTCTGGTAGGATAGCAGCACTGGCTCGATTCATCGGCGAGCCACCACGAGTGAAGGCCAAATATGCATTAAATCACCTCCATATGATGCTTAATGAAGTCGAATGCTTGGCGCATCCCTCAGAGATTGATCAACGCTGAGAGTTTCATCCTTTTATTTTATTATCCTTA